GGGGGGAGAAAAAAGGGGGGCCTGAATTATGCCAGCTCTCCTGGGGACAGGTCCAATCCTCTCTGTTCTCCAACTACAAAACCTCTTTCCAAGTGTTTCATTATCTGGACAAATTGAAATTGACTCTTGTCTGCAGTCTTTTAATGAGAAACCTTTTCAGCCAGCTGGCTTGGCCTGACTAGAGCTTCCATCAAGATTGAACTGGGTTTTCTACAAGCTGGCCAACCATCACTTAGACTCACAGCACTTATCATAAAATCTGAGAACGTTTAAAGCCCCATTATCGTATTTTCATGCTATTCCGAAACAGTAAATGCAGGTCTCAGGCATTAAACGTTTACAGTGGGTCCAGAGTCTGCCACTAGGATTTTCTGGTCTGTTTGGATTTTTAACTAAATCATTACGTTTTCAGAACAAAACAGGTTTACAAATGTTTGGTCTGCTCTCTAATTTAGTTTTAATTGCAGTCATCAATCACAAATTTCGTTGATCTGTTATTGCCTCCTGTCCACAAAATGCAAAACATTACAAAGTATTTGGTTTAAAAGTACACATTCTGCATATAGAATTGTCAAAGGGAAATTGTGTCCTTCTCTAGAACCTTGAAATGTTTTTTTCTATTAAACAGAACTCTTATTTTACTGCTTTAGCTGTTTTTGTTTTTACAACCTGTAGCTATAATAGCCAAACCCTCCCTCCTACATGAAAACATACTATTAATCTCTCATTCTGTGGTCCCAGCCATCAGAACAAAAATACACTTAAATTCAAGCCTTTATTGCTTCTCTGCAATTTTCTTTTTTTACCTGCAATTTCTTTTTCAATCATCTTGAAGGCTACCCTCTTCAAATAAAGTTTAAAAATAAAAAAAAAACATGGTTGCATTAAAGGCCATCAGCTTTTTTTCTTTCTCAACGAAGCTACAACAGTCAACACAAGAAATGAACAACTAAAAACAGAACTGATGACCTAACACACGAAATACAAACACGAAACCAACTGAGAAAAAGCCAAATTAGAAGAAAATCAATTGCTTTTGTAGTTTAACCCCAATCAATTAAAATATTTATAGACCAAGAAATACATGTTACATCTTTATATTTATTATGTTGTCTGTGCCTGTCTGTCCCAGTTGTGACGTTCTTGGCAAACATTAAAGTAATGATTAAATACATTTGAGCCAGATTAATATGTTATTTTTTCTTTGCTGCTCGCTTGCTAATGTCTGCTGTATTATGAGCAGGAAATGGGAGATGTATTTTTGCTGGTTTTAGTATGTCAAAGCCAAAAGGACTGTGGTAGGTACTGGAATTGCTTCTAACAGATTTTGTTAGAAGCTTCCCCCCAAAAAATGTAAGTACACAGACGAGCAGTGTGACAAAAGCTTTTTTAAATCAGTGCTTCAAATCCTTGTTCTGCTTGACCCCTTAAAACCATTGCTGCTCTGTTTTATGGCAATGAAACGTCCCTAACTGTTGACCTTGGGTGTTCTGAGGTGATTTGGTTACAGTTGGTTCAGAGCATATTCGGGTTGTGTTGGTTTGTTGTTTGCTTCTGCAACCATCTGTGGCATGATACACGAATGATGCAGTTTTACCATTTCTAACATAGTAGCAAGTGTGGGTTTGTTGTCACTTGCAGTATAAATCCAGTTTGAACAAACGCTTTCTCACACTGTTGGATCAATGTCATTGAGTCCTGACTGGGGACCTGTGGCAGACGAAGGCAGTGTTGACACGACATTCCAGAGTTTCTTACTTACCCTTTTTGGATGCCGGCCCCAGTCATCGGGAATATCAAAACTAACTGAATTAACAGTCTTTACACAGTATCATGATGTGATGAACAGCACCTGATCAGCAATGAAGTTGGGTACAATACAGTTCAATACAATACTACCATGCACATTAAAATTGGAGACCGCTTATACGAAAGTAAAATTATAGCATTTGGATGAATGCTTTTATTTACAGTGGATGCAGAGTACTGTTAATGGTTTCACCTGAGATTTCATTGTAACATATGTGACTAGGGTATAGAACAGCTTCTGGAGGATCCTTTTTCTATAAAGACATTAGTGTGTGCCACTGCTGTCCTCTCTTGTGTCTTGTTTCATCATTTAAGGATAATCGGATGTTCCAGACAAAAAGGTCATTCTCCCTTATGGCATTATCTGCTGGTCCTGTTGCACAGAGAGACAGATGTTGCAGTAGACTGCACAAAAAGTACATTTGGGTATTCCACGCATTTCTGCGTGCAGGAGTTAATTGTGCATAATAAATATGCTTTGAAAACAGAAGTTCGTTAATTAACCTTGAAAATCTCATGGCTAGCCTTTCATTCCTTAAATATGTATTAGTTGCTGAAGAAGTTGTTAATTCCCTGACTTGAAGAACTTTTGTTTATTAGCCTTTACCACCCTGTTGGACCATTCTTACTTAACAGAAAACATTTTTGACTGAAATGTCAAACTCTGAAAAAAAATGAAGGCATCTTGGTTCATACAGTCACTGTTTTTTATGTAGAATCAGAGGACATCTTCCATTTAAAACATGGCAGTTTCCAAATATTTGTTTCTCATTTGACTCCAATTATCCCTGCTTATGTAAATGCCTCCAAAATGTTCGTGATGCATCCATTCTCAGTGGGGAGAGCTTTAATAATAAATCCTTAAATTTATATTGTGCTTTTCTGGGCACTCCTCTCAAAACGCTTTACAGATAATGGGACTCCCCTCCATCACCACCACTGGATGATGCTATGACAACCATAGTGGACCAGTACTCTCGCCACATATCAGTTAATTACACAGAGCAAATCAGTTCTAGAACTAAGATGGAGAGCTACCTTGTAGCTCAATTCCAGTTTTGCTTAACCTGGAATTTAGTAGATCCATTTTCTCAAAACTTTTAAAAAGCAAAAACATCACACGTTTGGATAAAGTATAATAGGATCACAGTGCATGGTAAGTAGCAGACAGTCCTTTACACTTAAGGAATTAAGGGTGGCAGGGCTAGACTGCAATGTGTTTGCTGGTACTTTAAAAATCCATCAGTTGTTCACAGGATGCAATGGTAAAAAGCCTCGTCAACAAGAAGAATCAGTGGTCAGTGACAGTCACAGTCAGTGTTCATGTGGGTGTTAATTTTACAGACTGCCTCTCTATGGCAAACCTGATCTCAAAGAGCCTTGCAGTAAGCTCCCTCCCGTAAACCTCAAGCCAATCGATCGCACGCATGTCAGCCTGTGATGTATTGCAAAGCGAATCAGTGGGATGACTCTAATGGCTACCCATTAAAGTAAAAATACATTTGCAAAAGAAAAAGAAACTGTGTCGATCATCAGGGGCCTGGTGTCATGAGGATTCTTGGAGTGCAGTTATAGGCTGATATATTGTCAGCAGTGTAAGGTGTTGCCTGTTTTCTCCTTTGTGTTAAATCCTGAAACAACCCATCTGTAGTGTAGAGCTGGATCCTTTCTGCCTGAGGCAATAAGACGTTTACATGACTGTGCCAGCACATTAACTTTACAGACTGGAAAATGTTATGGAAACTGGAATAAATTAGCCATGTCTTGCCAGATAAATTCCTGTAGTTATGTATACAAGTATTTATGCATTACTGTTTTGTTTTCCATCATTTATAATTCTAGGAATGTTTTCTTTATCCTAAGCCGGGCTGACAAAATTCTAGTATGGCTTCCATATGACTTTTACACTTTACTGAGGAATCTGCTTGCCTTCCCTTCCTGATAGAATTAGATGCAGGATAGTGTTACAAGGCCAGAACTACACTACCCATAGTTAGGTTTATTTAAGGGTAGCAGTTTAACAAAATGCAATTGTAGAAATCCACTCCAGTTCATAGTACAGGAAAATTCACATTACTTATGTAATTAATTCAGACTTACTCTCTCTTTGGCAATAAATTCTTTTATATTGCATTTTGACATCATATATAAGCTGTTCATTCTTAAAAAAATGCACACTGATCTTAACTGAAAACATTCTTCTTGGTTTGTGTTAGTGATATTGGAAAAAAAATAAAATAGTTAAAATCTCTATTTGAAGATACCACCTGCACCTTTCCTTTTTTTTAATGCTTATCTAGCCCCAAATGATAATTTGTAGGGGAAGCAGGTTAAAGGTTCATAATAATTTGCTCTCATCTTGCTTAATCAAAAAAATATTTTTAAATATGAAAGTAATTTGATTAAATGTCTACAGGGTAATCTTGTGAAAGGTACATCCCATGTACATCCCACCAGGATTATAGTCACACAGCAGTATATTCTGATATACTGAATTAAGATGGAATGGAACTGAATAACTGAATTAAGTAATCAGAGGATTAAAAAATTGCATGGAAACAATGTTAAATTAAGGGGGTTTGACTACAAAGAACTATATACAATATTAGAAATCAGGTCAATGCCTGCTATTTAGTTTTTTTTCCCCCATTTTAAAAGGTTTATCACCTTGTGAGATAACATGAAAGTGCAGTTAGAGACGAGTTCAGACTGGAGTCTGGGGAGTGCTTAGGTCATGGATTTGAACTGCATTTGAAATAGGATTTGGTGTCTGGGTGGCACATCTCAGTGCCGCTGCCTCAGAGATCTTGCTTCATTAGGAACTACTGTGTGTAGATGTGTTTATAAGTTATCTTTCTATTTTCCATGGGTTCTCTTCAGTTTGCCCCCAACTTCCAAAGACATGTTCACTAGACAGACTTCTGTCTCATCCAGGGTGCAGTTCCGCATTGCGCCCTGTTCGTTTGGAAAAGCCCCTTGATATTGAGATCCTTGCCAGGAATAAGAGGTTTTCTGATAACCGTGGGATGGTTGGGTTTGGAACTTGTATCTGATGCAGACCTCTGATTGAGGCAGCATATCTGAAATGCCAACAACATTCTCTCTGTGGTCACAGGGGCTGCATCTCAAATCCTATTCTGTTGTTCTTTGGCTCTGAATTTATTCTTCTTTTATGTCTGCTGTTTACATAGGTCCTGTTTGAAGCGACCATCTCAAAGGAGCGCCGGGGCTACATTGGGATGGATGATATCTTATTGCTGAACTACCCCTGCTGTAAGTATGTGCTGTGACCTTTCAGGAAGGAATGAGAGAACAGGAGATAAATTTCCTGCTGAAAAGATTGTCTGCAGTGTCAAAACCCACAGGGCTCATGAGTGGAATGATAACATGTTAACCCTTTACACTGAAGCAGCTTATATTCAAATATCTCATTCTAACACATTACATGTTCATATTATAAGCATCAGTGTGTGATTCATGATTGTTCATCCTGATTAGAATGTCATTTTCATTGTTAATGACCAATTCCAAGAAAATCGATCTCTAAAAAGGCTTCTTGGGGCTTCTTTCCAAGTAATCTTGAGGAAGTGTAAATCTGCCCTTCTGTGCTTCTTTCTTGTGTTCAGGTGTGCTGCAGTTTGCAGTGGTGGACACAGTGATGTCCTCCCATTAAGGTAGAGAAATCCTGTTAGAAATTGACTGCCAGAAGGAGTTTATTGTGGCACATGAAAATGTTAAAAGAACACAAACTAGTAGAACACATAACAGAATATGCAATAAGAAAATATTAAAAGAAAATACAGGCTACAATTCCAAAGCCATAATCTTAAAGACACTGCTTGTTTAGTTATACAAACTTTAAATTTAACCAGCAAAGTTACATTTTAGATTGACTTCAGGTGAAATTACTGCTGCTTCAACAAACAGTTCTTCAGAAGAAATGGATAAGAGCACTATAAAAGGTTATGTCATATCAGGTGAACTTAACCTGCTTTTAGGTTTTGGTTCTAGATTGTTGAAAGATCACAGTGAATTGCTATCTAGGAACTAGCTTGGCAATTTCGTCTTCTGAAATGGAAATGAAGTGTGGCCTGTTCCTCACTGTCCGCGGACACCACAGTACCTCACACGTTATCCAACTTAAATGACACGCGTCCACGGATCCATTTCCCTGTCAGCTATCTAGCTCGCTAGCTCGCGAGGGTGCACACTCGGGGCTCGGCTTGCAGCTTCCCATTCTATACACGCAAGAACATGACCACATTTTACCTCGAAATCCCTTCCGATTATCCGTAGAAAATCAGACAAACTCACGGATAACGTTAAGTTTTCTGTTTATTTGTACTTAGCTGTGTGAGAGAGCGCTCTGTTCACCTGTCTACATTCTTTCCGTGTTGTGGTCACTGTGGTTCCTGGGCTGCCTGACTTCCGGGTATGGTGGCCTCATAGGTCCAAACCCAGCCCCTCTTCTCAGCTGGGCTTTATGGTGTCAACGCTGAGTGGTGCATGGGCACATCTTCCGGTATAGGAAGTATCACTTTGTGCAGATACCAGAGTAACATATTTTGTTCATGATTCTTTGTTTTATTTGTACATTCTGTATAGTCTATTGTAAAAAGTATAAATTATAAGTTTAATGATATGATAATGAGATGATAAGTTTAATTGTAATGTGAGAATGGTACGGTCCGAGGGGGCAGGGCTATACTGTGCCTATTTAGGAGGTTCCTCCGTTAGTCCTGGGGAGAGGTAGTTGATAGGTTCCAAGTGAGTTAGGATGCTTGGTTTATATCTCTTGGAGGAAGGGTTTGTGTATTTTTGTTCTATTTTGTTAAACAATTTTTGCACTATGTATAATTATTTTGTTGGTTTGTGGGGACCACTGTCTAAGTTAACCACCACTTTTGCACCTAAGTGCTATTGTGGCTGAGCTGTTATTCTATTTTAAAAGAGCACTTGGGCACCCCTCCAGTTCTTCCTGTGACACCATGGTTATATAAAGTCTGATCATCTGTGCTTTTTGGGATTAATTTTGCATACTCAGTCACCCTAATTGACACAGATTTTTCTGAAGAGCAAGACTAAGTTGTACCAGCTGTATATCCTAGACATTCCTAGACAAAGTTGACAGATCAGAGGTAAATGCATAACCTGCCAGTGCCTACCTGAATGAAGGGAAAGCTGTGTGGGGGTTTTGCAACCTTAGCATGCTCATTCTGTGCCATTAACAAGACTGAGCAATATAAGCAGTTTTGCTCTGTATGTTTCATTTTAACATCTACATAGGACTGACCTTGTCCTTCAGTAAAATATCTTATGAAAATCTAACATGATTATATTTTACAAATGTGATGAGCCCCTTAGACTGTCAAACACGTTTGATTTTAGTGGATAAGTGATCCAAGGATAATCCACCAATTTGATTTTAAAAAAAGCCAATCAGTTCTAACTACATGGCTGGGCAGCTTGTGCCAAAACCCTTTATGTCAAGAAGTGCTTCTTGATTTCCATTTTAAATGCACTTTAGAACTTGTCTTGTAAATGTCAATAAGAAATCATAAAGATAATTTAAGTTTTTTCATGGTTTTCTTGCACTTGTAGCAGGCATTTAATTTGGCTTATGATGATGTCCCCTTTGTTTTTTTTCCTTTTTCACTGTTCCTTTTGCATATAGTGTTATTTTATCAGCTGTTATCATGGTACAATTATGTGAGGGTACCTACATGTCTAGTGACTCTTTTTATTCACACTGGGTTGAACCTCCTTTAGTCACCTGATATGGGCAGAGACAAATGTGTCTGATCTTCACTCCATAGTGGCCTGTGCCTGGTACAGGGTTGATCGTTTTCTGAATTGCCAGTGCATTGCAGATGCTTTCTTTTGAACCCTGCTGTTTCCATTAAATAATTAAGAATCTCATTAGGGCACAGTGAGTCAGTAGATGGACCTGGATGAACTGTGTTGAGTGGCAGTGTTCCAGGGTGTTGAAATTACCATTTGGCCCACAGAAAAAAAAAAAAAGAAATCATCTCCTGCTTTAAATTCAAACTACACAGCTTTGCTGAGGAAATATGCATGACATTTCTATTGTGCTCTCCTGAGCCCACGTTTTTATTTCAAGCAAGCATTCGAGTAAAATAAAATATTTATCATATTATATAAGCCTCAGGACAAAATCTGACATATTTAAATAACAAGTCGATCGTCAAAGGCAGACCTTTTTTTCCATATTTTTTTTGTCTCTGCACTTGTAAAGACGTATGAATTATAAATTAACCAGGGGTCCCTTAGCGGGATTGTGTCCATAGGAAAAGCTGAAATCTGTAGATTTCATGAGAGTAGCATCCCTCCTGTCTGTTTGCTGAAATAAGACCAACAAATTGCCAGTTCCCTAGCCAGAAATTAGCAGCAGGCTCAGAACCTTAAGGCAAAACTGGCTGTCTCTTTTCATTTTCAGCTTAGCTTCCATTGCAGGTTATTGTATTTCTGTCTTTCGACAGCATTTGGCAATGTGGACAAGATTCTGTTATCACTAATTATAGCATTAAAGCATAACAAACCTGCTATTGTGTTCTAAAAGGTTAGGGATCCCATTTTCCATAATTAAAAGACTGGACACCCTGCTTAGGAAATTCTGCAATATGCTGGGAGGCTTCTCATGAGATATTGAGATTTGCATTTTTCTGTCTGATTATTTCGTTCTTTTATTCCTTTCTTACGTGTTCCTCTGCGATTGCAGTTTGCCATGCTAGAATGCAGCCCAGAATAAACAGAGTGAGGATATCTCTCAAATCCATGTTTGAAAAATGTATCTTGGGAAAGCAAATTCACAATACACCATTGCATGGAGATGGTGCAATGTAATTTGTTTTCCCTTTGCATGTATCGGTGTTGATAGGCAAAATAATAATTTACATACAGTATACTTGTCTTTGTTTTTGTGTGCATTTTGAATAAGCTAGGAAGTAAAATTAAAACAGCAAGAACTGAAATTCTTACCATGTACATTTTAAATCAAACTTTTATTTAACCTTTTAAATCAATAGTGAGCAACTAATAATAATTGACAAAGATGACCTATAAAGTTAGGCTGGTCTTGCTATATGAGTAAATCAACTTGCTGAAGGAGTCAATAGTGTTGTCCCACCTGGGATATGAGCTTATAACCTTTCAGTTACAAGTCCAGAACCTTTTAACTAATCCGCAGTGCTGAGGCCTATTATGAGGAAAACATTAAAAGGTCACATAAAATTGGGCAGCATGGTGGAACAGTGGCTTTACTGCCTCACAGCACTGGGGCTGTCGGTTCAATTCCTGAGGTGCTATCTGTGTGGAGTTTGTATGTTTCTCCTTGTGCTCGTGTGGGTTTCCTCTTGGTGCTCCTGTTTCCTCCCACAGCCCAAACTCAGACTGGTAGGTTAATTGGATTCTGGTAAAAGTGCCTCTGGGGACATACTCCGGCTCCCCCACAAACACGACATATAATGCAGTTAGATGAGGGGTGGGTGGACACTTTAATTAATTCATCGATCTGATGTTCACCTCTCATCACATCACATCCTCTTCTTCAAGAAAAGTTTATCATTGTGTTACTTGTATACTTGTTTGCTTTACAAATATTTTTGAATCCCAGTGTCAAACATTGTTACACCTACCAATATGACACCTAAAGCAATGTTATAAAAATATGCAGTAAAAGTAAGATAACCATCTCCCAAAGCCCATTAGAGCTAAAGGAATTAATGGGTCAGGAGAGCACACACACAGAAGATCATGTGGAAAGCTCAAGCCTCAGAATTAGTGGAGTGAATGTGAAAGGACGTCGGAGATTGGAGCTAATTTGAGATGAATTTTTGAGAAAGCCTCAAAAGTGAGTTTTTTTTCCAATGCATAAAGAACAACACTGACAATTCTTCACAGCTATTACTTTTACCATTGCTTTGGAATACTGTATATTCACTTTTTCATTCTCTACAATGAGCTGCACATTCAAAAGCCTCTGACGGTGTCACGTTGCTTTTGTAAATAAGTTGACAGTAAATAGCCTGCATTCACTGTTTAGGCTTTTGTTTTAGCCAATTTCAGTTTCCGATTCCAAACAGTGCACTATTAACTGTGAGCTGGACTGAGTGTTCAGACAGATTCCCTCAGAGAATTTAAAAGAAAACAAGCTTGCACGTAGCACACTGCCTTTCAGATCGGAAAGCATAATCTATGTTGTATGCATATCACTGTATTTTGTGAATTGTAGGGGTTTATGTTCTGCACCATTAATAAACTTAGTGTGTGTATTTTAGACCGAAAATATTAGGGTGCAATTATTAAGTCCTTAATTGTAACGGTAAAGTTATTTTGTATTTACAGTAAAAAGGTTCGCAGAAGGTTTTCAAATTCAATGGTCCATCACCTGAGCTGAATACTTATTATTTCAGTACAGTGCTTGAATGTAAGTTCCTATTGTGCTGTGTCAGTAACCTCTGTTCTCCTTCTCCCCCCTCTCCAGATAAAGCCCCCCACTTCTCTCGACTGGGTGATGTGGAGGTTAATGCTGGGCAAAATGCCACCTTCCAGTGTGTGGCATCAGGGCGGGCATCGGAGACTGAGAGGTTCCTGCTGGAGGTTAGTATGGAACAGACTAAAGAAGGCTGTCTCTGTTCCAACACTAAATACTCATTAAAACTGTGCTTCTGTGTAGAATAAAAGCCACCCTAATAATGAAATAACTGTTACATGCTGAAGTTGTTACAGAAAAAAAATGAAATCTACTGTAGGTGTACCTAGGTGTGCATGATTACATTGCTATCTTTTACATAGTTCAGTGATGCACTTTTTTCATTTTTAATCTAGAAAAAGCTGATTCTGTTGTCTATGATGTACAGTACAGGAGGTACTCTACAGTATACACTGCAAATGATGGTTTTGCTCAGAATAATAATTCTGCACTGTAGGATGTCTGGCTGTAAAGAAATGTATTCTGAAAATCTTCCTTTAAGTAGATTTTAAAGGCATGTTTAAATCTACATAAATCCTACTTAAGTCTGGTTTGACTCTGTGAGTTAGCAACAACAGCGGTGCCGCAGAATGGCAGCCCCCATGGTGCCTTGCAAAATCTTGGGTTGGTTTTATTTCACATGATGTCTAAGGCTGTATTTGTGGGAAAAAGAGGCTCATATCCTGTCGAGGCTTTAAGCCGAACGCATTATTCTAGCAAAGTGTTCAGTCTTTTCGTGACTAGTAAAGAGTTTTTACAAAAATGAGATCATAGTAATGCAACAGCAAAAACTCTGAACGTAACCCATGAAGGTTCTGCCTTGTTCAAAACACGTGTTGGCTCTTTCCTTGTTCAATACGCATGTGTTTTTCCAAGGAGGAAGGCTTTTGTATGTAAATTTCCCCTTTGTAAATTAAAAAGGCTACTTTTCATCACTCTGAAAGAACTGCCCTTTCTGTTTTGCTTTTTACTGCAGAATGAAATACATAAAGAGAATAAAAAGAGAGAGTTTCCAAGCCTCCATTTTCCCTCACTATCCCATTTGAGCTTTTCATTTTTCAACCTCTGTGCATATCAAGCTAGAAAGCTAATTAGATTGTGGGGTTATGTTACTATGATGATAACCTTGGTTTCAAAAAACATATTTAGTCTAAAACTGAATTCCTGGAAGGGGTACATTATAATATCCATCAGTACAGAAACACAGAACCTGAGGAGCCTGTAAAGTAAAGGTGCTTGGTAGTTGTGACATTTGAGTTACGTGTTTGTTATACAGTATGTTAAGTCATGTATAGCTGAACATTGCCTCATTTTCTCTGGGCTATTTAGACTGCACAGGTAGAAGTGACAGAGCACTGGAGGGGTTGGGTCAGCCTCACTTGACCTTGCTTATCACTCTGTAAGAACAGAGTTAATTCTTTATTTCATCAGTTCATTATTCTCATGTTCTCCTGCTGTCAGCATCTTGGTTGAATTCCAGATCAGGCCAACAGGTGTTACAAGCTTGCTTGCTTCCCTTAATTAACTAATTAGGGATCAATATGAAAATAAAACGTTTGGGCTCATAAACTATTTTCTGGCTGGAATAAGGATGTTAGCTGTGATAGACGGAGGAAGTGTATCACTTCATGGAGATAACCCTAGTCCAAATCTAGCAGCATAGTCCTGTAGTTTTATAATAGTCTGGTTGGAGGGGTGTTTCCCTTCCTGGCCTTTTGCAACTGGGTGATGCTAGGCAGATGTTGATTCTGCCATGATCTGCCATGTTAAATAAAGCCATGATCTGACAATATTTTTCTTATTATCAAGAAATACATTAAATACATAATTTTAAAACACATTCTTCAGATTTCAGTCAAATCGGTGTTTCCGAATTGTCCCTGTATTTGTGTCCTGTGAGGATTTCCAGGGTGTAGATCCATTTTACTATATGCCCTCTGCTTCCAGGATTACAGGAATAGCTCTGACAATGGATTGGCATTCTGACGATGGATTAGATAATTTAACAATGTTTTACTCTGAGGTGAAAATCTCCACACTTTTTAATGAATGACATTAATTATTGAACATCTCTTATATTGGTTTGATTTATGGCTAATTAAATTGTTTCTTGACCGCAGATATAACCGGGTTGCTTTTTTTCATTGATCGTTTCTGATTGATTTATCATCAGACAAATACTTTTTTCTGTGGTCTTCAATTCTGCCTTCTATTAGCCCCCGGTTTTATGTTATTTAATTGTCCTTTTTCCAGATTCCTCTTGGATCCTGTTTATATTCTGAATTATGCACTCCTGCTAATTGTTTTCTCAGTTTCTTGGTGTTGATTTTAAGAGCTAATGAAAACATTGTGATGTTTCTGTATTTCCATTTCTTAAAGATGTTTAATTAAGCAAATAAATAATATTGAGGTCAATGATTTTCACATTCATTTAATGCAAATCAGGGCTGGAACTGGCAGGCACTAAAATGATAAGGATACAAGAAAATCAGATTGATCTAAGAAAGGGTTTCAGTTAGATTAGATTTGAAATTCCAACTTATGATCCAATATGAAGGCAGAGGGCAATGTGTTGCAGTACAGTATGTCCCTTGTGAATCACATACTGTATTGGTTTGAGATCCTGTCCACACTGTGGACAATGAAGGTCTTGAAACTTTAAAACAAGATTCTGTGACAGTATCACAGTCAAACATGAAAGAAACCAAATCTACCCCCTTAAAAGACCTCTTGCATTAATTGTGTTCAAAGTGGGTTTCCTGCTCTAGAACCATAATTTCAATGTACAGTTTGTCATTTAGTAGTGGTTATATTGTAAAATGCTTTTGGATCCTAGAATTGGACTACATAAGTGCCATTAGTTAGACTTTTAAGATGGAACAGGCAGACACTAGACATTGCAAACAGTCTAAGGAATCCCTACTATACTGATGTACGTTCATCTGTTTCAGAAATGCCGCCAGTGGAAATGCCATGCAGTGTGAACAAGGCAATACATAAAGATGATAAGAATGGGATGCAATGATCATAGAGGTTCATTCTGGAAGATTCTGTCGATAACAGTAAATCAGACAAATCTTCAATAAACACATTTTGCTCTTAATAAAGATCTGTCTGGAAACTGTTGTTCATTAGTATAAATAACTTGCAAAACCATAGTTATAGTTTTATTTAGATTACCATTTAAAGAGTATTCAGCATTCTTCTGAATCATTAGGCAACTCCAAGAGGTGGTTTAGCTGCTCTAAATTATGGGTACCAGCTATGTTGAATGTGAAAAGGGATATACTGTACTGAACTGTCAGTAGTCTTGGAAAGAAATGTATGATAGATCACCTTGCACACAGAATGCATCCTGAACCATGTGTAATTCTGCATAAAGAATTTTTTAGAAAAATGGATTACTAATATTTGTCATTAATAAAAACAAAATTCCAGATCATTAATTTGTAACATGACAGATGATGAAAATGGCACATGTGCTTCAGGGCTCCCTTCTGTTTGAAGTGAATGTGAAGATTTCATCCTCTTCAAATTTCAGGTCTTGACAAGGTTGGATTACAAAGAGCTGTGCTACTCGGGTTGATATTGATCCTGAACTCTGTTCTCTGCCTGGGTAGCCAGTCGTTCTTGTTGAGAGGGTGATGGGGTAAGTGGTGCTGAGCTGGGTGTCTGACTCCCATACGTTTCTCCAATAGCGGCACAATGGGGACGTGACTCTGGCCTCATCGGTGAAGCACCTCAGTCACCGGCGCTTCCTGGCCTCCTTCCAGCTGGACATGGTCCAGCGGGGCGGACAGGACCTGTACCGTTGCGTTACGCAGTCCTCCCGCGGCTCAGGGGTCTCCAACTTTGCAGAGCTCATCGTCAAAGGTAAGCGCCCCAAACATCCACACTGACCTTTCACTTCCCTCTGACTGTGAGGTGCTTACGATGAGCACCGATTCGGGTAAGGATGAATCCAAAAGCACCTGCAAATGGGCAGGCCAGATCCAGTACAGTAATCTGTGCTGAGATAATTCCCTGTGTTTTCAAGTGTCTTTTCATGCTTTGAATGGAGTGCAGACACATGTGCACACTGTGCCAACCCATTGGGCGTGTTGTAAAGGGATTCTTAAAAATAGGAGGATCTAGGCCAACAGATGCACAAAACACCCAGCCTAATGGGTAAAAAAAAGTGAATTTTTATTTACAGTGCAAGGAATAAAAAAAAGCCTAAGATTCTTTTTTAACTACTAATTAAACTTCTTCTTGAAGTCCCTCTCTATTACAGCAGAGCAGCTAAACTTCTTACTGGCCTCAAATATACTCTCCACTGAGACTCTTCACAAAATTGGCAGGCTTTCAAACATCCACATGCTCAACACTACTCACTCAGACGGTATTCAGTTCAAGCAGTATTAAAGACCTCAAACAGTTTCTTGGGCCATGGTCAGTCCTTCTCCCCCTGGTGAGTGCATCTCACAGGAGTTCTGCCCTCTACCACTTCCGTGTCCCTGTACCCACACTTGCGGACTTGCGCATTCTGGCTCAGGTCTGCAAGGGCTTTCGCCGCCCCATCTCTAAATTTTTGTGCTCAGCAGCGCCCCCAGTGCGCCCTTCTCTGAAATCCGCTGAAGGGAATTGCCTGGAATTCTTTGCGGAACGTTGACGTTTCACTTTCTAACCTATCAAAGCAGAGAGAAGATGCTACAGAGAATAAAACATTCACATGTTAGTAAATGTATAAGTTTTTACAGTTTTAAATCTCGTAAGATGTTGTGTAAAAATAAAATATTATGTGGCTACTTTAGGTTCATACTGCATGTATTATAGATATGAAGTTTTGACATAAAGCTTTTATTTCGTTTCCACATTTTCGACTGATGAATATTCGTTTACCTGCGGTGTGTTTTGCACAAGGGATATTTAATAGTAGGCATATTTAATAATACAAAGCTTTGAGATATTGCCAAGGTTACCTTATTTAGTTTACATTGAATGACCGTGAAAGTACACAGCTTTGAATAAACAGTGGTATTGCCAAAGTATCCGTAGTTTACTTCGCCCGTACTGAGTCGAGCCTGCTCAATGCGAATGAACACGATGTGTTTTTTTGTGCAGGGATAGACGAGATGAAATTCAATTTAATCAAACTGCCAGCTGAGAATGTAGAATTCTTTAAAAATAATTTGCCTGCATGCACTTAGTCACTGGAAAAGCAACATCAACAATAGACAGCGTTTTGACCCTGAGCCGGTAACCAGCGAGAGAGACTTAGTGCCGTCATGCGAGGGTGTCCCATTACTCTATATACCGATGCGCCCTCGGATACTCGCGCACAGAAGTGCGGACTTGGAGGAAGGGCTTAATGCGCAGTGCGAGAATTGCAAGACGGCCTTAGACAGCAGATTCACTTGTACAGACTGAACCAGAAGGCGTCTGCTTCCTGCTTTTTAAACAGTCACCCGACCAATTGTCTTCCTGCAACTGGTCAGGTGACTTAGACCAGCGGCATCTTATTCCCCCAGTAGTTTCTGGGAAATGTGTTCCAAACAGGGCTCTTCTCTCACTAAGCCATTGGAAAATATACAGCTTACGATCCTGGCGTGGAAACTCCCTTTTCCATGCAATATCCTGCCCAAGGGTTTAGCTAAACGGCCAGTGTTACCGTGGTGGTTAGAGTTTGTTAGCCCCTTAGCTCAGACAGTTCTGTAGCAACACTGATGGAGTGAACCTTGGAACCAGAAAGTCCTGCTCCATTTCCCTTTCACTGGTGATGGGGCACCATTCCACCAGCTCTGCATAGACCACCTGTTTGAAGAGGAAGTCGAGTGAATGCAAGCAGAGAATTAAATAATCCCTGGCTGAGATGATTTATATCTTTCTTCAATCAAGTTATGGATGAAATCATCTGTATCTTCCCCAGTGAATGCAGAGGATTTCTTCAGATCAGTGATTATCCTGTGCAATATAAAATGCTTCAGACATTCTGCGTCAGAAATAGTACTTTCCTGTAGTGTATTTATATACTGAATGCTCTAAAAAAAATAGAATAGGAAAGCTTCTGTATCTATTTTAAGATATTTTAATTGGCTCTTTTATCAATTAACTTTTGATGATAATTCTTTTTCTAAGCTGAAAAAAGCAGGTTGATTAAGTCATCGATTTTATTGTATAACAACCCTAATTTGAAATCACCAATTATTTGTAGGCTATATTATTTTTCTGGCAACCTTTACTGCTTGGTAGAGAATGAAATATGTGGTCATGCTTATATTACTCTAATACAGCAGTACAAGATTAAGTAATTAAAGAAATACAGGTATTGATCAAGTGTACAGTCTTAACAGGATTCCCTTATCCCTTATTATATATTTTCACAATTAAAATAGTCATCTTGAATTCCATGCGACATTTACAGTCTATATACAGAAATATAGTTTTTGTGACAATTAAAAACATTATCTTATGACCCTGAAACAAATTAAAAAAGCTTCAAAATAGAGTCAGCAAAGACCAAAGTGAATTATCTCAAGCTATTCAAAAGCAAAATCTAGTAACTCTGAAACAGTTGTCCATTCACTGAGAACAAATCTTATTACTTTTCAGCAGATGGTTTTGACAGAGGTGGCCTATTCACTCTTCCCACTCACATTTCTAAGAAGAATAGCGTCTGTTTCTTTTTAATTACCTGATGAATTAAGCCATGATGTTCCTCTAAAAGAGTGTTCAAGCATTAGTGCTAAATTGAGTTACGAACAAGTTATGAACGGTAAATGATGCACACTGCCGCTTGCTGTGAATTCTGCGATTAATAAATTGTGGAATATAAATGTTTTGGTTTTCTGCCAAGTGTTACCTTTGTTGCTTTTATTCTGAAAAAGAAGGACGCTGTTTAACAATTATAAGCAAACTTAAAGTTACTTTTGCTTTATCTAATCTTTAAACAAAGATGATCTAATCTTAAACAGGTTTAACACTGATCAATTTCAGTGACTCTACAAGTGATGACAAAAGATTAAAGATTACAAAACTGATTTCTGAAGTAACTGGAGCTCATGTAAGCTCTCGTCCTGAACCTGCTTCCACTTTGTGGCCAGAGACATTGCTGTCTTGTAATATGATTACATATTAATATTTAGGTGCAAAGCATGCCTTTCAGTGCAGGATTATGTGAGTGGGTCTCTTTTGAACTATTGTGTTTGACCTGAAGGGCATCCTGTCTGCTTTACAAAAATAAGATGGAAAAATGAGCTCCCTGGTGCTGGCAGGATCTCGGGGATTTCCAGGCTGGAAAACTATAATGTTTTGATATTATTTATCGTATTTTTCTTTTTACTGAGGAATGTGTTAGCAGTGTTTTTGGAGTGCAGTAGAGCCATGTTAGTATCTCTTTTAATTAAATCCACCAAGAAAGCTACATCGATTTATTGTTTGGAAGCAGAAGCTTGGTTTTTCCTTTTTAATGACTTCAAAACTTGACCTCCCACTTAACCTTTCTTGAGAGCAGCAGGTAAGCTTCTGTTCTTCCTGGGGACTGTTCTGGAGTTTATTAAACTACTTCTAGTTTGTGAGAATACACACTATCTACAACCACAAAATTACATTGAAAGCAACCAACAAAACAAAAGAAAATACTGTAAGAGTCAAAATGGCCACGATATAGTGTAAGAAATGTACTAGCAGTCATGCACTTTGGTGAATTTTCTGGATTGATAAGAAATGGTAGCACCCTCTGAATAAAAACTACTCCTTCTTTTCACTCTGGTTCTTTCTGCTGTTCCAACCAAAAGGCAGTTCAACACATATTGTCAGTTGAATTTCAGTGATGATTCCCACAAAGGGCCAAGTCTGATGTGGCTGGAAGGAGAGCTTATTACTGTTCTCCACTCCGCAGCCACTCTCCCTGCTGCATGCCTTCTCTGACAGGAGCCTGGAAGATTAATCAGAGCCCTTGACCCAGCTGCCATTCCAGCTGGACCATGATGCTGTGCGCTGCCGAGTTTCCCACTCCTTTTCCCTGGGGGTGTGTTTGGTGGCGGTGATGGCACCGTGCCCTAGGACAAAGCAGCACATAAAGGCAGGAGTGACAGGAGACCCGGTGCAATTTTTCTGATTCACTCCCTTTCCTTTTAACCCTGCAAATTCCATACTAGAGGATCTTGTGGCCAGGAACATGCTTACCCGGTCGGCAAATGTACTAGAGTGGATTAGACTGATGATTTGAATGCAGCTGCTCATTATATAGTAAAATTTGAAAAGTTACTTGTCTAGTGGCTAAGATAAGCATGGCTCATCAAAAGCACAAATTCTCAGATACTGTAATGCATAAAAATAAGGGCAAATTGAAATGATGTGGCAATGTCTTACTTAGATGTAAATTCATAGTTCTATTAATATTTTTAAGCCTAGAGAACAGATGCATGCTGGAGCCCCTCGCTATGCAGAGCTTGTGTGTATGAGTGTGAGAATTAGAACAACATGACATGTTCCACTTTGTGGGAATGCTATGGCAACAACTGCTCGGTTACATACCTGTTATGCTGTTACCAGAAGTTGTGACAGGTGATAATGAGGGTGACATTCTTTAATGAAAGGAAAACTTCACTGAGCTAGTGAGTGTAGGATACAGCAAATGCTTTAGTACATAAGGCACAGAGCCTTACTATGTTAAGGGGACCCACATAGTACAGTGATCCAGTGTTCCCTGTGGACTATTGCTGATATCGGAAGTATCAGTTTTCTATGTCAAACCGCCACATATTTCAGTGTTTTTTCTGCTCCATTTCATGGCTCCCCTTGTGTCAGATACAAATTAATTCTTTGAAAAGGCTCATTACTGCAGCAAAACGTTCTTGCCCTCGTTGACTAAGTTTCTTGGAGTGCACTGCTAGATTAAGTGTCGAAAAGCGAATTTGTATGGGAGTTCAGATCCCAAAACTGGTGTCTTGGCTGCATTTCTACAACACCCAGCAGGGAGAGCCTATTTAAAACTCGTTATTAGTTTTCAATTAAACAAGGAAGAAAAGTCTGTAGTTTGGAAATGAGCTGGAGGTCTGGATATGTGTGCCGGTGCCGTGAGAATGTTTATTTTTCCGTGGCTGTGTTTTCAAAGGGGGATTGCAGTGATTGTGCCTTAAGCAAGCAATTTACAAAACAATTTACACTCATCTTGGAGTTGTTGGGTAGAGCAGCAAAATTCCCAGCTTTTTTCACTTCATTTGTAGATATTGTTATCTTTGTCTGTCCAACCTCTCTCTCAATCTCTCTTTGTTGTGTGAGATTTTTTAGAAGATATAGATTTTACCATTCAATCTTTGAAAGCTGTGCCTGTAAACATGGAAATTCAGTTTGATGTAATGATAAGCATCTAACCTCAGCCTTGGATTTCTGCTCTGCTGACAGGCATGTATTAAATATCAGCCATTAGTATAGACCAAAGAGTATAGAGATACGTTTGTTCATGAGCTGACTCAAAAAAGAGCTTGGGCTAGTGATGCAAAGAAATCTTAAATTCTTGCAACATCTATAACATTACAGAGCAATTACAGTGCTTGGAGTGCATGATGGGAGATATAATGTAGCCCAGAGGTTGCAATCCACACTTTGTCACTGGCCCATTGCATTAATCATTAGCCATAGCCTGCTAACTGAGCAGGTCTGGATACTTGCAGGTCTCAGTCCTAGTCAGTGAGGCTTGTCCTCTGTCCTTCCTAAAATGCTGTTGTCGGTGCCAAGGTGTGAGAAGGTGAAGCATTGACAAAACCTGTATAGAGGATGTGTGCTGCATTGATTCCTGCCAAGCTGGTGTGTAGGTTGCAGCTATGCTGTAGTTTCAATAGGAATTCAACATCGCAGGGCATAAAAGATGAGGTATCAGTGCTAATAATTTTTCGAAGCAGAGGTTGAATGTTGGGGACCTGAAGAACAAAGACCATATAGCATCTAGCATCTATATGCTGTAGCATCTAGCATCACAGTCATGGGCCTTGTTTTAGAGGTCATTCTCTGGGGGAAAAATACCACAGCAGCTTGGATGAAAGTCAGAATGTGTTGACAGTACAGTCTCTTTGGAACTAGAGATTTATTGTGGAAAAGATTGCAAATATTTTTTTCTAATTGTTCTGTTCTCTATTTTTGCTCTTCCCTCACTTATTATCTTGCCTTATGTGATTTGTGATTTATATTTAAATGAGTCACATTTTAGTTACAGTTCTAATGTTTTCTAAGCTTTCTACAAAGCCTGGCTTTCTTTAGCCAATACGTTGAAATAGAAATCATTGAGCTTCAGTCATTTTTTTAATAATGCCTTTTGTGGTTTTGCATTATACACCATTTTAATACGCTTTACAAAGCACTGCTTTGAATTTAATACAATTGGTTGATGTTATCCAAGTCTTATTCATAACTAGGATAAATAAATACATATTCCTAGCTTCAGACACTGCACGCTAATTTAGGGGGAAAACAGTAGTCAGTGGAACTAAACCAATCACATCCCAAGCCAGTGAAAATACTGTATTTCATGAAAGGAATCTTGTCTGCAAGTAGATTTCCTTCCTTTTGCTTTGTTATTGATGCTGAGATAATTTAATCAATAATTTATTGCCCATATCTGCAGAAAAGAGATTCAAGCTAAGAATTAAAACAACTTGGTCAGTGTTGCAGTAATAAGAGATCCTACTATTTCTCTTCTCCGAGCTTTTAGTTTTAATCAGTCTTCTCTCTCTTCTGTCATGAAATGCTTTGAATCCAATAGAATATATTGGCCACTGTTTTTTTTCTTCTTCCTGCTGATATAAAGGGTTTGAATACAGCAGTCTTCCAAAGCAGAAGGAGAATTAAACAATAATGAGACTCAAAAAGTGATATTATTTTCATGTTTGGCAGTTAGCTTGGTTTCTTTATCTTTATATTTTGTGCAGTTGTACAATTGTGGCTATGAGCATAAATTGAGCAGAAAACAATTTTGCCTACCTCCGTTATAACCATTTTATGTCTAGAAATGTGTCCTAAGCATGTTTATTGCCATACATGTTGTTGTGCTAAATCAGCAAATGTGATGAGTATGGGTGCAAATGTGCTTTTCAAATTGAATCTCTTCATTTTCTGCTTGAAATCTATTTGTATGTTCCCAGTGGTGCCCTCTTACTTGTACTTCTTTCAATCAGCAAGGTGTTTGCTGTTTTTAGTCCACCCGAATGTTAAACACTTCAGTTCTTGTAAGCTTTGTATTTTGACATTTAGAAAAAAATGCTATATCGCTTAACACCCAGTGCTGCTCTAGAAAAGCCTGACCCCAGTCATGGTTCTTTTAAAAAAAACATTGATTTTGCCAGTTTGATTTCTGAAGGTGTATTCTTTTTCTTTTCCCTCCCAGGAGGCTCCAAACATAGCTTGCTCACACCTGAAAAACCGTAGGGGGTGCCACTGAGAAAAATCCTGAATAAACTTTCTGCGCTGATCTCATTAGTAAGCAATGAGAAATATGGTACAAGCAGAAAACACTACAAAAAAAATGCATAAACCGAAAGATGTGTTGTGGAAGACCAGGTGAAAGTTAAGAGTAATATCAGCTGCAGTTGGAAAAATCTTTTTTGGGGGGGATTTGCCAGCCTAACGTTGACTTGTCTTTTCCTGACAGTACCTCCATCACCCATTGCACCTCCCCAGCTGCTGCGGGCGGGGTCCACCTACTTGATCATACAGCTCAACACCAACTCCATCCTTGGCGACGGGCCCATCATCCGCCGGGAGATCGAGTACCGCGCCAGCCAGGCGCCGTGGTCAGAGGTGCACGGCGTCAACATGGCCACATACAAACTGTGGCACCTTGACCCCGACACGGAGTACCACATCAGTGTACTGCTGACCCGCCCAGGGGAGGGGGGAACGGGGCCGCCCGGTCCGCCCCTGATCAGCCGTACCAAGTGTGCAGGTGAGTGCGGACAGGCAGTGCAGGGAGCTGAGGCAGCCATCAAGTACTGACATGCTGATAATTTAGGAGGAGAACTCAGTTCAAGATCAATGGATCGTACATTTCCTACCAGCCCCAGTGCTGCCCTGAAGACCTCTGCTCTATAAATATGATGAAATAAGGAAAGCTGCATATACCTGAGTTTCCTGCAGCCTTCCTGAAATATTTTAAAACGATTAAGCTTCTCTTGCACTGGTTTTAACGCCTGGAGTGCTCTCCTTAGCCTGTGTTCATTATTCCAATTTTAAAAATCCCACTTGTTCAGAACTCCATAAATGTTCTATCAGCTTATCTCATGTAAAGTACTATGTGGTGTGCAAAATGTTCAATAGTAGGATTTCAGATCCCAAACTCCTTTGAAGCTTTATTCACATCTTCCACGTGACCTCTGCTCACCTTCCTCATCTCCAATGGACATGCAGCCTGCTATGAATTTATAATTATTGACACTACATATGAAACAAGTAATGCTTTTGGTTACATGTTATGTAAAAAATATGAGGATATCATAATTTAAGAATATCAGAATAATATACACAATATTAACTATTGTGATTCTGGTATATAGCACAGTGGTACAGGAAAGATGGCTGGTTTATTCAGATTGTTATTTTTGTATGTCTTTAACTGTACTATGTGTTGTTCCTGGCATACAGACTAGTTTTGTGAAACTTAAAAATGGGGATCATATTCTCCTGCCAGACCTCCCACACAATTACCATTTAATTAGCAAATAACCATCATCTCAATCTAAGTGCTTCCCTCTCTTTTTGGAATATTTTGATTACTGATTGATTATGGCAATTATGCTGGAAGCTGGGTCAGTACACATAACTGATCCTTTTGTTTTGTTATGTGCTTTGGTCTGATTTCAAGAACAACCCCCTCCAAGATCTGTTAGATAGACATATGCTGTTTTATTTCCTTTGGACATCTGATTTATTTAAAACATGATGGTGCAGTGAAGCACTCCAGCGATGGAAACAAAGAAATGGGAGAATCTGATATAGATTTCCTCCACCTCAGTAATGGCCCCATTATTTTCTTGGCACATATCCCTGGTGGAGCTACAAAAAACCTGAAACTCATTGTTGGCAGAAAGCCGGATTTGGATAAAAATGCATAGTTGGTAGGAAAACCAAGTAACCTATGATGGTTCAGGGGTTTAGTAACAAAAGTACACCCAATTGTTTAGATAAAGCTTTTTTCGAATGAATGCAATTAGTGATGCTGCAGTATATACAGTACCACACCGATGAGCAACAGGCATCATTTATAATAATACCTTGGTTAGTTTAAACATGGGTCGAGGAGTATTAACAGATTACAGTTTTAAAGGTTTAACATATGACCTGATATGCGAGTGAGTTATTGACTGAATGGTAAAGATGCATGTGCAGGAAATAATATTCTACACAAAAGTGCAGCCATAAAGTACTTCCAATTATCACTATCATAATGTTTGGTTATGAATAGAGTATAGAGTGAATACAGACATGCTCATAGTAAAAGCATAGTCCTGATGAAGCATTGGACATTATGGTAAAACACTCATGACCAAACCATGGAAGAACTGCACAAATATAGTGCAATGTTCAACTTTTATAAATGTTGTTTTCCTTAAGCCAAATGAAGAATTTGCTGCAACATATGCCAAGGCTTCTTGTTTCCAGCATCTCCCTTATTCAGCATCACACCCCCATTCCCAGTTCTGATTGCCTTCATCATCCATTCTGTCTGCGCCGCTACTTCTGGTGCGTCACTGTTTTCACTTGCCACAGCTCTGCTCCTTGGATCTCTCGGCTGTCACATGTCAGACGTTTCCTCTCTGTCGCAGTCTGCAGCCAGGAATCATTCATCAGTGCCTTACAATGTGCCCACAGCCACTGGATAGGAAGAGGAGTGAAACTTTTTTTCCACTGCACAGTCGTTGTATAATGGGAATTTCCACAGGATATCATCTCATCACTCATTACTAGACGAGTTTTGTGTGGATAACAGGCATGACATCAGTCAGTGACGCATATCATCTGATAGTATTCATTATTCCACCTTTTTAATAATTCTACACAGTTAATCTTCCCTTGAAATACTGATGTACCACAAGATACCAATAACTGGTGTGTGGCAGCAGATACATTTCTAAACATGATTTCTTTATGGAAATATTTGAATGTGAGCAGAAAAGATATACCCATATATCACATTGTTTCTGATTTGTCATATCTTGCAATTGCTCACTCAAAGGTTTTGCAAAATGTTATCCTTTCAAGCGATGAAGTGCTGCACCTCTTAAGAATGAAAACCGTCACGGGAGTAAAGAACATCATTTTCATTTCCCGATATACAGCTCTCGCTTTTAATAAAAATTATTTTCTGTACTGTATGCTCTGTGCATGTTAATTTTTCTGTACCTTCAGGGATGACATTTTACCATGAAAATAGCTTTTATTTATTTTTTTTCGAGGAGGGGTAGCACCCACAAGTCTCCCCCAGCAAATTATAACCTACAGTATGAGCTTCACCACGGAGGCTATTAGGCGCTCTGGTTCTACCATTAGTCAATTTCTATCTGAAGCTCACAAAGCATGGTGGCCTTTGCTTCACAACATGGCGGTGCAGTCAGGCTGCAGTGAGTCTAAGTGTCACCTGTCCCCTGCCTGGCACAGTAGCATTGGAGACTGCTTTCTGGGGACATGAGGTGTGTCCCCCATGATTGTACGGGTCCTGTAGCACACCGGCAGGTTAATTATCTATTGCCCGTTCCATGATGGTAGACTTAACAGGGAAAATGTAGTATGGGAATTTTAAGTGTCCATAGGAACTTAGTCCTTATTTAAATGGATGTGTATAGTAGTGATACAGAGAGTTTATCATTTTTTTCAGGCATATGCACTCTAGCATACATCTTGGATAGGCTGCAAGTAATAAACTAACAGGAAATCAGAGGAAAAATACTTTGCCCCTTTCAACATGCCTTACAGTAGCTGTTTTGTACAGCACAAATTGCAGATTGTTTGCGAATTGAATAGAGAGAGAAATCCATTAGAGTGCAGACAAAATGTGTTCTTTAAAATTTTCATTTTGTAAAGCCACAGTTCAGACTTCACTCTTTGACAAGACTCACACTGAGTGATATTTATCTTGCAAAGTGCTCAGAGGCATTCTGTCTATTTCCTGGCTATGGATAAATGTGAGGCCAGATTGATTGATTATAAGGTGGCAGCTATATGAATTCTAAAGCTGCATTGATGAAATTGGAACTTCTGATTGGTCCAAAGGCTGGACTGAAAACAGTGAAGTTAAAGTAATGAGTGATAATGGGCAAAATTTCAAGTCTGAATCTAAAATAAATTATGCCAAAATGTAGGATTATAGGAAAAGCCCTTAAATACTGTCTTAAATTCAAATTGCTTTTAACATTTGCTTCAAATGTGCACGATTGGGGAAAGTCATACGGAAAAAAAAAACATATGGCAAGCTCCCAGGTTCTTATTTTCCAGATTGTCAAATATTTTATTTTTTGAGAAGCCTTTTAGCTAATAACGCAATAGGTGCTTCTGCTGGTATCCAGTTTGCCTGGCTGCTGTCTCTTGGGGCCTGTGCAGTTGGTTTTCTGGGGAGCTCGTGTTTTCACTATATATCTTGATACTACAAAAGCTTGCCAGGGACTTAATTATCCTGTGTGCTCTTTAACCACACTGCCCTTGTATCTGAATGAAGGCGTGCTCACTGGACCTTAAATCACCAATGATCTGCTTCTACATCTCCAGCTCTTTATTGCTAAAACCCTCCACAGACCAGTACTTCATCATTGTTAAAAAGCTCCTTTGCTTCTATGTGTGTGTTGAGGTGGGGGAGGGGGGGAGGGGTTTGACATGTCTCATCAAATGCACCAAGAAAGCAGGCCGGACACAGCTAACAGATTGGCACTTTCAAACACGCCATGCTTCTCAGTGGTTGAGTATCCCACTGCCTCAGCCATACTGGCTGAGAAAAAGAAATTCTCCATTTGTTTTTGTGACATAACTTAAAATGTACATGTTCTCTCAGACTCCATTATTTTTGGTGTGATCACAGGTCTTTGGCTGGGAGTGTCCCAGTCACATTTATATTTTTAAAAGGCTGAACAGCTGCAATTTCTTTTTGGTACCCAGTCAGTTTGGAATCGACAGTTCATAGCTTACTGACATAACCTCTCTCCCACACAGAGTTGCTGTGAGAGACACTCCTTTGTACTTTTCTACCTGTCGGACCCATTCATCTTTGATGAGATGTGATCTTTGTTGCACACACTTGAACCAGGGACTAAAGTGCTCCTCCGCACTGAAACCTCATAGACAGGTGTACGTTAGCTGTTCGGTTTTGGTACAAGCCTATTATGTTGTGGTGATCCCATTTACTTATGCAGTGTCGCAAAGACAGACCCACATACAGATTTATTGTACGAAAGGGAATGCTAGTCATACCATTGAGACAGATGAGAGGCCAAAGAGACAGAATAGGTACAGTATCGCATACATACATGGCAAAGCAAGGAGAGAATAAGACCTCCCCCCATTATATAGGGTAGGAAGGAGAAGTAGCCAGCTTTGCAAGGGAAAAGGCCAGGGGTATTTGAGCGGATCCACTCCGGGGGTGGGTGGAATGCTACAATATCAAATTTGCTATAAAAGTACAAACAATAGTTTTTCATTATCTAACAAAGAAAAAACAACTGTAAAAATGTTATGAGCTTTACTTTCCCTGGTATTCCTATTAACTGAATACCAGTTATCTTTCTTGATAACTAAACCGTTCTTAGCCATCTAGCATCAATTCCAAAAAAATATAAAGGAAGGAATTATAACAAGAAGATTAAGATAAAATTGAATTTAAATGTAATGCTTTACTCTCAACTCTTTCCTGCTGTGATGTCTTCATAAAATCTTTTCGTGCTTCAAAGATGTATACCGTTGTCA